CGCGGGCCTCTCACTGTTGTGGCCTCTCCCGTTGCGGAGCACAGGCTCCGGACGCTCATGCTCAGCAGCCATGGCTCACGGGCTCAGCCGCTCCGCGGCATGTGGGATGTTCCCAGATCGGGGCACGAATCCGTGTCCCCTGCATCAGCAGGCGAACTCTCAACCACTGCGCCACCAGGGAAGCCCAGACACAAAATTCTTTAGAATAAGAAGGTTCCCACCTACTAAAAGGAATAAATGAAAAGAGACAACAAAGGAAAAACAGATATATTTACCTGTAATGAGATGTAAAACCTCTGAAGGGCAAAAGAGGCCATAAAAATGAGGGGTAAACAATAGACTGGCGGGGGCTTCCCGGGGCTTCCCTGGTGGCGCAGTGGTTGAGAGTCCGCCTGCCGATGCAGGGGACACGGGTTCATGCCTCAGTCCGGGAAGACCCCACAGGCCGCGGAGCAGCTGGGCCCGTGAGCCATGGCCGCTGAGCCTGTGCGTCCGGAGCCTGTGCTCTGCAACGGGAGAGGCCACAGAGGCCCGCGTACCGCAAAAAAAAAAAACAATAGACTGGCGAAGAAAAATTGCAACACCCAACAAACAAATGAATGCTGAAAATTTTAAAGACTCACAAAAATTTAGATGGAAAAGCTCAATGGAAAACTGGGCAAACGATACAGAGAGCCATTCACAGGAGAGGAACTACAAAGGGCCATGTTCATCACCATCATAATCCATGAAGCACAACTTAAAACAAGTGGACACTTGACCTAGAAGATTGCCAAAAACTAAGCAGAGGGATAAAAGGAAATATTCAATGGTGACAAGGTAGGGAACACATAACCATAGTGTAGGAGAGGACATACTCTGTACCTTTTAGGGGGCCATGTACCAGTATCTCTTACATTTGAAAATGTGCATCTTCAGGATCCTGTAATTGCATTTCTAGGTTCTGTCCTGAGCTGCTCACAATAGTTAACTTTTATTAAGTGCTAGAAGCCCAACAAAGTTTTAAGTCACTACCTTCAATCCTCCTAAAAGTCTATAAGGTAGGTCATTAGTAATGTTCTTGTTTTACAGATGGGGAACCTAAGTCACAGGGGGATCCAGAAGCATTTCTTAAATCAAATAGCAATAAATGGAAAAAACTGAGCCCAGGCAGTCTGGCTCCACTGTCTGCTCTTAAACATACACTATTTTTAATTTAAGATATATTCTTATCTGTGTATGGAGCCATACACAGGATGTTTATTACAGCATCATTTATATGGCTGAGAAAGTAAGAAAAAACAACTATCATCAGCAGAGAAACAGATATTTAACACAACATACTATGGAATACTATTAGTATTTAAAAGAAGGGAGATATAGTTACATGGAAAAGCATGGAAAATCTTTAATCCATATTGTAAAGTTTAAAAAAACTTAGTGCAGAATATGGAATATGCAGAATAATACTGCAGAATAACGATATTAAAATATCACTTTAATTAAGAAATATATGTGTGTGTAAATGCACAGAAAGAGGTAGCAAAGGTGAGCAAATCAATCACATATGTTATAACATCATAACAGATGTTATCCAGAGGGAGGGGAGTCCAGTGGGATTTCAGGGCAGGAAGGAGGGTGGTTCAAAGGGCATTTCCATCTATGCGTATGTTTGCTAACTTAGATCAAGAATGTATTTACATATTTCTCATGGATAATTAAACTAGGATCAAGGAAACATTTTCTTTAGCAGCTGTTATATACCAGCCATAAAGCACTTACAGCGATCTTATTTCTTTCTACAATAACTTTATGTGATCATCAATATTTGATTATTATTAATCATAAGAAAAGGACAGTAAGATTCCATGTGTTTCAATAACTCAATGCAAATACCTTGATACCTGGAGAAGCTCAGATTTGAGCTCCAGTCCAGCACCAGCCACGCTGAGATGGACAAAGGTGACGAGCAAGGTTGACAGGAGGGTTGAGAGGAAGAGGTCTGCAGGCTACCAAGGGCGCCCAGAGCCAGGCCTTACCACAGCGATCCCGGACCACCAGGTTCCGGCCTTCCTTCAGGTGGATGGTGAGGAGGTAAGCGAAAGGGCTGGGCAGGTTACTCAAGCCATCGCCGGCTTCCCCGAGCGTCTGCACAGATGGAGAAGCCATTGAAGTCAGTTGTCTTAGGACCAAGGAACAGAATGTCGGAAACACTTCTTCATTTAAGGAAAAAAGATGATCACCGTCATGGCAAATCTGTGAGCGTCATCCTCCACTCCCACCCACCCATGTCGATGACATGGTTACACTGTTCTTTATCCTTTTCCCCAGTGGGATTCTATGAGAATTCATGACAATAGCTTCACAGTATTAACTTCCCAAGAAGAAGCAGGTAAGTTGCATGCCGACATCTGACATCCCCCTAAACTCACCCATGCCCTGCAGGGTCCTTATCCTACAGCTCCCGGTGGAGGACCCAGTGAGGACATAGCATGCAGTAGTCCAGCTATGGGGCGGGGTCCCACGACCCTGGTCCACACCTCTCAGCTCGGGTGTGCGACGTCTCCCTCCTCTTCTCCCCTTTGCCCACCAACCCCCATCAGTCCAGGTACACCTCCTGCCCATGTAACAAAAACACTCCCGTTCACAACTACTCAGCTGATCACCTACTAATCCATGTCCAGCCAACATGAGCCCCACCCCTGGGTCCATATGGGAGTCACTTCCTCTCCGCTCTCCTGCCTGTGGCATATTTTTCTTTCACGCCCTGGTCCCTATTACAGTGTTTCCTACACTTACCCACACAGTCTCACCTCCCACCAAGTTCACTTTTCCTCTCCAGGAATGCATCAACTCCTACAAGCCACAACATCAAATTCGGTTTCTGAATATTTCTTAAACGAATCCAATTCAAGTTTTAAAAAGAGCAAATTTGTGTCTTTTGAGAGAAAAAGTACAAATAAAATGATTTATTGTTCACTTATTTGAATTTCAATGAATCGATCTGTGGCTAAGTCACTCTCCACAGCGTTCTTTTGAAAGTTCCTGGTCCACATTTCAAAGCACATCAAAATGGCTTTGTCTCCTGTACCATCTCACTCAATTTCATGGCTCTGTATTTTTAGAAGAATCTATCCCACTCTGACAAATCAATAGACACTGAATTCATCTTTTCCAGACACAATTTGCAAGGCCTGTCTTTGTGGGTGGTAACAGTTCAGGATCCTTTAGAAATAAAAGATCCAAACATTTGATGATAGGAAATATTTATAGCATTTACTTTAGTGTTTGTTTGTTTTTAAGGAATGTCACTTACAGATAGCTCTTCGAAACGTTGGGATGTCAGAGAAGCATTCAGATCACCACTTCCACAGAGCTTCTGTAAACAAGAAGAAAAAATAATAATAACCCTGCTTTTAAAAACCAAAAGAATATCAACCTACAAGGATATCCTTTATCGGGTGTTTCCCTTTGAAGCTGCTGTTTGCATAGTCAAATGCAGGCTGCCTTCCGGAGTGTGTGGCAAGTCTTGGCAGTAAAAGGATGACTCACTGGAGTCCATCTGGCTGCAGCCTCTGCCCTCTTAGTCATTGATCAGCATGTCGATAAGGCCGATTCTGCTCTCCTGAAGGGCTGCTGAGGCATCCGTAGTTCATCCAAGTCATTAGCGTGCCAGCAACTTTGTCCCAGGGGAGGCAGTGTGAGCAGCAGGGCCATCCTGCCAGGTCCCTCCATCAAGGACCTGCCTGGTCCCCCAGCCATCAAAGAGAAAAGGGGTACCAGAGACCGGAGTTTTTCAGTCTAGTAGGACACATTTCAAATGTGACCACAAAGACCTTCCTCCAACCATAACCTCATGGGTCTAGCAACTGTACAAGAACCAACCAAAGAGTAAGGAAATGCAACTTCTCAACAAACGATCTCAGACTGGGGGGTGTCTATGTTTCCTACTTAAATATGCCTCTGACAACCTAGGAAATGATGCCACCAGGCACTGAAGTGAGCGCGGTTCAG